GCTCGTTCGGGTGATGATGATGACGATGTTCTAACGGGCTACCTCCGCTTCTTTGGACGATTTATTAACGTATTCAATTCCTCTTATTGCGATTGCGATCAAGGTGCATGGCGCAATCCAAGAACCGATGCTGAACAATCTATCACCTGTAGTTCTACTGTTTCTGTTGTTTTTCTTTACATGACAAGTTCCATGGCCCATCCCAGGACCTCATTACGATGCCCTCATTACTGGTATTGCTGGACAAATCTCATAGAAGAGCTTTTCCTGCAGATTTCGGCCAATTCCATCGCAACATCTGCAAACTATCGCTATTTTGGACACCGCCTGCTAGTTAACTTTTTTGTCTGAGTCTCCGATGAGTAAAAAGCTCCCAGACATCACTGATGAAGAGTATTCAGTTTGAACCGCGATTTAGATGACATTTTGTAAGGTTTCGAATACGATTTCAGTTTTCCTGATTAAGAACGGCCAACGTCTGCCAGGGGTTTCAGACTGAAGAGCGACTACGTCGTATTCTCCTTTTTCCTAGCAGGAAATCGTGATCTTCTTCTCCTTTACATCATTTAGCATACGTTAAATTAATAGTTGGTGGAGCATCAAAATTGTTTAGATTGCGCCATGCCTTCGTATTGTCTCCAAAATCGCCAAGTTATTTCATAATTTATTTTTGAAAGGTGGTAGTTATGACACTACATCGTGATTAAGAAAGTTTATTTTAACTTACCGGCAATTTCCCAACACTGAGATCGATCTATTCGTCCCAACTATACCTTACATGGTCACTTTAGAACTCTCCAACAATGTCTAATTTCTGCCTCTGACTTTATTTGTAACTTTTACTTCTGGAGCTGTGCGACCAAGTTTTGCTACAACTCCTTGCTCGGCTGACGTTTCTCCGCTTCCGCTTTCTATGTAGCTTGGGAAGTTGAAAACCACTTGGGAAACTATTCGCTCAAACATATTTCAACCTAATAAAGGAATTCAGTGGGGACGTAAATTACGGGTATGAAGTCAGAAACTGCATTGCAGCTGACCTTTACAGCTGGTTCCAAATTCTCGGTTGTCCGAAGATCTGGTCTTTTCGCTTTCTTTTTACTACCGCTAATTGTGTATAAGAGGTTGAATTCCACTGAAACGATTTCGAGGAAATATGTGAGTCACAGCTGGATAAAGATTGCCGGATGTTTGTCTACTGATTTATCTGACTGTTTACAAATCTAAACCTACAGAAGATTTGAGAGGCTAACCAGATCCTCTCTAATTGGTTTCTAACTCTTCATCATGTCTTACCAAGCCTCCAGAGCATCACTGAATTTTTCATCGCTGATTAATGTCTAACTCTCCGGCGGATAAGCGATTTTGTTGTTGATTACAGTGTTTACTTGTTGTTTTTCAGTCTTACAAGATTCAAGAAGCTGAGAACCCACCTAGGAATTCAAAGAAACTTGTGTTTTCAAGATTTTTTGGAACAGAGTAGGGCTGAAGACGTCTCGGTCAACTGCTATGAGGAGGAGATTGTGTGTTTATCGATGAAAACTCAGAATTCTACAGTACACGTCTACAAAGTAAACAAAAATGTGCGAAAGGGCCAGGATAAAGCGCTTGCGGCAGTGTTAGATGCCCAGGATACGCCATGTGGTTGTTTTCCTCAGAGATCCGTAAAAGCGTGTTGGGGTTGAAATTGTATGTTCGTGCATAACTACTGTTTTATAACTTTTCACCCCACCACCTGAGTTTATGCATAGTCTGTGGTCAATCTGCCCGGTTTCCGATCTACCAAACGAGGCAAGGTTCACCCATTGGGGCAGGGACCAGATACCCTGATGGTGTTAGCGGTAGCGCTCCCTTTGCAGCCCTATTTTTTTGATTCTTGAGTCAGTTAATTTCCAACAATTGATACCATTCAAACTCTTCGTGAGAATCGATTATCTTATTCATTTATTTCCTTACTTACTTCTAAATTCGTTAGTCATTTGGAAATGCGCAAATGTAAATCAACTTAAAACAAAAAAGGCTAGAAAGCAAAAATCTCCTACTCGAACGGTGGATCTCTTTTTAGAAGATTATGCACGAAGTGAGGAGAGAGCTCTAATTCAGATCTAGGCCTGCTTGATCGATTGGTTGAAACCAATCGATAAATAATCCCACGTAGTGTATTGAACCATTTCAGTCCGATTGCACGATGAGATCAAGAGGCCGTTCATTTCCTATGGTGCTCATCTTCCTCAAGTGCTTATTACCGCTAGAACAGTGATACTGACTTGAAAAGACCTTATTTGGGTAAATGCTAGTTAGGATCGACGTGGGTGATTGACGCAAAAGTTCAAGCGATATTTCACCCCCTTGTTTCCATGGTAGCATATGCAAAAAATCGTCAAAAAAGATCGTGTTCAGGAAGATGTCAGAATCGCCCTCGAACGTGATACAATTACAGGCCCTCGACAACTTGAATTCACCTTTCCACGAAATTTCCCATCAAATCCTGCTATTTTCCCTCAAAGCCCACTTAATCAGTTTTTCGGTGTTCATACTGTTGTGAACTTCAATTGACGAAATGATCCTATTCATAGGCAGCTGCTTCGATTAATTTCCGTGAAACGACAGTTTTCAAGTACATGGCGTATTCTGGGGGGTCGGCATGAAGTCCCTTCTAAAGAAAAAACGAACTTCTCGACGGTGAGAGAGAAAGAGAAAACTATCCCACTGCAGAAGTCAGAAATCGGATCCCAAATGTACAACTCTGATAGGAATTGGGCAAGTGCCCGGCGCATCCAGAGTTCTGTGCCGTTCCCAAGCTCATCCGGGAGACTAATTTACTTTTTTGAATTAGGTTCAGAATAAAGAGTGCTACGCATCCATTCCATTGGCATCTTAGAAATAGTTGGATGTTCTTTACAAACGGAAATTCCCTCTCGAAACGTATCAGGTAAGCAGCAGGAAGAAACATTGCCTTTCCGAAGTGAACGACTTCCTATCCACATCCCTTGTGATTCCATTTCAGTTAACTGTTTTTTAAGCTCAAAGAACTCGTCGCTCAACGACGCATCCGTAATAGGACATATGAAACCCCAGAGGAAATCTCTCTAAAAACTCATGACGGTCTGTTGATGACATCTTTATCGTTATGGATAACCTGTCAATATGATATGTTTATAGGGCTGCCGGTCCGCGTTTCAGATGAACCACTTTAAATCGTCCATTTTGGTCGATTAAGGGGGGAAGGTTTCCCACGTGGTATGAAGAGGAGGAGGAAGAGGATCATAAGATTATCTGTTTGACGGAACTGCACAGTGTACGTATGACAGAGTATGGTACCGCCCATAGTAACGTTCACTTCCTTCTGGGACTCCTGTAATCCACCTCACCCACTTCCTCTTCGTTCTCGAAACCCGATTTTCCATCTTTTCCCATACATATCCATAAATGGCCTTGTCTGAGTTTCCTCAGTGCCTGATAGGCACTAGGTTGGTAGGATTTCTTCCGTTCTGTCAACATTACCGTTGCTATTAATTTATCGACCTACATTCGATTGATCGCTAATGATCTGAAAAGGACGAAATCGGATTTTCTTTCGATCGATAGAAAGTTTGTTTTCTTTGTTTCGATGGTTCTCAATATTTTTGCTTATCCGACCTGTGTTATCCCGATTTCTTTCGAATTTCCCCTCGTCCACTTTTGTTCCCCATTTTCTCATTTTTCATTGAGGAAATAATCCTTTTTCATTCTTCCCCCTCCTTTCCTTCCGCAAATCACCACAGGAAGGTCTTGTTGCCATCTTTCGCTCTTGAAAATCCATGAAAAAACGTCAATCTGATTTTTTGCAAGTTCTTGCGAAGTTTGAATTCAGCCACTTGTTTCTCATTAAATTACAGATGTATATGAGTATGTATGTATGTATCCTTAGCTGCCCTTTCATCCTAGCTTCCTGGCTATTTCCATGTAGCTGAATAGGCAAAATTTTGAAATAGAACAAAATTATGGTGATTTCGTTTTTATAGGTCTTCCTGTACTTTCTTTTTGTCGCTGTCGTCATTCTGCTTTGATTGTTTCTTAATCAGAATGTTTTGATGTTCTCCTTGTGTACTGTCGCTTATATTCCTTCTCCGTCACAGGAAATTCAGTCAAAAGAATGATGTTGAGACTGGTATGACTTCAGAAGCCTTCAGTCGTCTGAATTTATGAATTCGCGCTGGACTTGAAGTTTCAATTAGCCGAACCTTTGTTGAGAGGCTCTGAAGGTTTTTGACAACAATCATCATCACCTAATTCTCTTGGAGCTCGGAAAGGAACCCATTCAAACGCTACTATGATTTTGAGGAATAGAGGAGGGTAGACGATTTTGCCATGATTAAACCATTTGTGAGTTCTCCTTGCGTCAAATTACTGTATCTCGAGGAGCTTTCAAAATTCCAGCTTACTGTTAATCCCATTGTACAGTTTAGCCAGACGATTCACCTACTGCTTTCTCGGATGTGCCTTGGCGGTTCCTGTTCACTTCCTGTGCAATATAACGCCTGTCCTTACGCAGGTTGCCCCCGAACAACTCCCCTCTCAGGTTTTTTTTATACCGCGTCCTCCCATTTTTCCTTTCCATTTTTCTTACCTAGCTCTTCCTTCCTTCCTTCTTCTTTTTTTTCCTCAAATTTTCTCTATTTCTCGGATTTTTTACTTTACCTAATCATTTGTTGTTAATCGCGTTTCTTCGAATTGTATATTCTTCTACGAATCCGTCATCAATTATAACTAATAACTCTGTAAGGGCTCAGCTCAACTTACCGAGGGGAAAAAACTTTTGAGGATGATGAGTTGTTGCTTAGTCATAGACGTCCTTGATGTAACGATGCCATTTTGTTCGATTTTCGTTTTTCGTTCGCAAATCGTCTACAAAAAGTTCGTCACTGAATAATACCGTATTCTGCCTTAAAGTCTACCATTTCAGGCCGAACTCCTTTGCATAAGTAGTATGTACCAGGAGCAATAGACGAAAAATAAAAATCATGGAAATCTATGAAGATATCGAGTTCTGTGATCCGAACCAAGTAAGACATTTCTCATTTTCACAGTGTTTTAGATAGTTAGTAGTAGTACTTTATACTTTACGCGATGAATGAGCTGACTATTATTTATGTTATGATCATTACTATTATTTTGTTATGTTTTTCTTACTATTCTGATTCTTGTATTGCTCTGCGTGCAAATCGGCCCTGGACTCGTAAGTAATAATAGAGGATGCCCACTATAGCTCACTTGGGCCTATGGAGAGTGGAATGCCGCAGTGAGAAAACTCCTCTGTCTCATGCCACAGTCAACCCTGAATTTCCTGTATTTCGGTCCCAAATCTCCCCCAAATCGTGGAACGCAATGGACCGAGCGAGAGAGACCTTGGCAGGTATCAATCAAGAAAATCTTTGGTAGCCTTTTCCACGGCAAGTCCGTTACAATCTCAGTCCTAACGAAGCGAGACCCATTCTTTGAAATTTATCTGCCGTCTAATCTCATTTTGACGCAAGTACTGGGAAGTTGCTTCCCAGCTGTGACGGCCAGTAGTACTGCCAAGATGTTTCTGCTCATTTTTAAGGGACCTCCTTGTTACCGATCGAACGAATGGAGAACGCGTCACTCACTTATGGGGTTGGAGAGTTTAAATGATGTACTGACATTCCCTGAATGTAAGCCTATTATGCAGCCATTCATTATGGTAGACTACACCCAGAAGATGACATGGTGNTTCTGAAAGGGGTTCTGGGAAGGCAGTGTGAGAGGGAAATATTTGGATCTTCTTGTAAAACTAACCCTTCTTAATAGCATTCTTGTAACTCAATTCCTATTCACAAGTGGAAGTTACGTCAATGGGATTTCGATTGAAAAATTCTTTCGTCAATACATAAAAGCAATGAATTACCAATGAAGCTCTCAGATGAGAATATTCTTATTTTTTTGATTAACGTAATGAAATATTAAGTTTTGCGGAACTGTCGAAAATTTCGCACTAGTCCAGGTTCTTCCCGGCGTTTCCTGAAAGCTTCCATGGGAAAGCTGTATGAGGACAGTAGCCACGGGTCTACTCACAACATATCCGGCTACCTCTTCTTTGTCAAATCAACCATATAATGACGATCTGTCTACCCATCTTCAACATGTACTCTTTACGAGTTCAACTCCGGCCACTTCGCTGCTGGAACCCTTTGAAAATCGGGACCGAGTTGGGCACAGAACCGCTTCGGGAAAGGCTTTGAAACCTAAAACAAAAATTCGTTCGAATATCGTCTACAAGCAATGTCTCTTCATAGCATTGACTCTTCAACTCGTCCCTAGTAACTTCCTTCTTTCAGATTTATGGTGAAGCATTGCCGGTATGCGAAGACCCGTTTACGGTCTTCGATCACTATATGAACATCTGTGTTCCGGCAACCCTGATTCAATTTGTTGACCAGGTACGGTAAAAGTCTTGCCTTACAGGATGAGACAACATTCAATTTGCCAAGACCAACCAGGTTTTTAGGAAAACGAGCCGAACATGAAGATCATCTACGGTTTCCTTCTGCCCGTACTATCAGTGATTGTGTTGCTGTCCAACGGCGTGGTTATACTGGTATTGAATGAACAAAAAACGGTTAGTACGGTAACATGTTGGTTTTCCCAAAGCATCATTCCTCTAAACCATTCCCACACCCACAACTATCATCAAATCAAGTGTATTTATTATCGAGCCGGAGATGTAAACAATTTCTTCACCGGAGAAACGAAACGTTATCCGCAAAAGTTTTTGTTTTGTTCTTGGGAATGGGAGGATTTATTTATGGATTCAGTCATGATGCTCTATGAAATGGCTTCGTCAGTACGCGCCCCATCCCTTCCAGCAATCTTTTTATACAAACGTCCCACTTCTGGTTCTATTCGAAGAGTTGAAGCGGCTGGGCGGAAGTGCGTTTCAGTACCAGCCGTAAAAAATCCAAAATTCACGCTAAAGGGGGTAACTTCTGAGCTCAAGTATTCGTTAAACTGTCTTAGGTTACAGTGAAGACTCAGCAATTACTTTGTGTACGGCTTGGCTACAAGCGAGCATTTTCCCTTACGTGGCCCTCTATATCAGCGTGCTGCATATCCCGATGAATGAACCACTTCTTACTTCTTCACTTAGCTTTACACCGGGATTCTAGGATGAGAAGGTAATGAAAAGTCTTCTCAAAAAACTCGAAAAAAAGGATTTTCTATGAGAATTCAGACGCCTAATCGTTTAATTCTATGCGTTTTCCCTAATTCCTTACTCGCTTATTCCCGGTCTCGGGTTAAAAGTAGCATTTTCAGAAACGTGCCACAGTGGAGCCACTGTTTTGGATGGCGGTCAGTGCTTTACTCATGGCCGCATCCCCTTTGCCGTTTACCATCTACTACTACAATCTCGGGCATATGCGAGATTTGAATCAGACCGAATTCCTATGTTACTTACAGAAGGTAATAGTTAAAGCCTATTTGAATGGTATCCTTGGCCACATCAAAGCTATTTTTAAGCAACCGTTGTCATTTGGCCTATTTCAGGTATGCATGGAAATTCTGCCATTCTTCTTCAACACGCTCATCACATTCTTCACATTATTACTTGGAACTCAGCGGTGAGTGAATTTGATAGTAGCTGACCTCCCAAATAGGTCAAGTAACCTTGGGGCCCCTTCGAGGGTTTAAAGCTCTTCGATCGATGCTTTGNCAGACATAAGCAGCTGCTCGGTGTGGGTGTTTGTAGATGTCAATGGTAGGGTGACGGGTGATAAAAACAACAAAAACACCTGCTATGAAAAAGAATACTTTTGTTGATATCTTTCCAACGGAGGAATTCGTCGCCTTCATGAGTTCTCAAAACTTATGCACTTTGATTGTGGAAGTTGGGGATTCTCTGTACTCTTTGAAGTTTCGGAACTCAGGGAAGTTCTGGGATTGACTGTACTTGAATTGGGACCACCGACTTTCTCAATTTCCTTCTCATTTCTTGCACTCAACTATGAAGTCGAGAAGGGTTGAAAGCTCTCCCACGTGGGTGGAACTACGAGATCTGCAAAATGTATTTGCGTGCAGTTCTTTCTTATCGATATTTCAAAGATCCGTTGTGTAGGATCTCTTTGGGATCGTTCCCCCGTGAAAGAGCTTAAAAGCTTAGTTGGTTCGGTCCCTTAAGGCGATTGCTACTATCGGGGGTTGAGATAAGAGATTAATCTCTATCTTAACGGCCAGCACAAGATTTGCTGTAACTTTGAAAGCAAAACTCGGCATCGCATGGGTTTTTCTCATGGATGAAATAGGATCCCCTTACTGACATAGTGGGAATTTTCAAAAATTTATACGTGTTCGGAATCACTCAGAATACGGCAGAAGCCCTTTTTTGGTCCCATCAACCTGAACCCTGAAGCCTAGACAGGTTGAAAATTGCGTTAAAGGAGTTACTACTGCGATTGGCCTACACCTTGTGGTTCGCATCTAACGTACGTAATTACAGATTTATTGCCGTACAGTATCCACTGGATTCGTTACGATGGTGTTCACGTCGTTTGATACGTCGCTATTCCAAAGCCATCCTTACACTCGCTATCGTACTTACCGTCATTCATTCTACGTTCGACATTCGGGTCATCTATCACTTTTGTATTCGAGTGAGTCTTTGCTGAATTTCCTTGCTGTTTTTTGATTGTCAAGGGGTCACTGCAAGGAAATAGGGTCCCCAGGGAAGAAACGCGGCCTCCCACTTCGTTACAGTGTACATTGGGATAGGCCATGCATTTATCACTTCAACTCTCAGTTCACGATCTTGACTGGAGTGGGAAGTGACTGATGCTGTGAGCAAGATGAGGGGAGATGACACTTCCTGAGACTGCTTGGACTTTTCAATTTTGCCAAGGAACTTCGGATATTAGTGATACAATTCTTTGAATGATTTTTTCATACATCGGTCTCTTTTGGAAATTTGAGGAACCTATAGACTGGAGGAAATCAAAAATAGCTTGTACATTGGAAAAACAACGCTGCAAAGGGCATTCCCATCAAACTGAAGAGCTTCGTGGAAATCGAATTGTTTTGTTTGATTGTAAAGGATTAGTTTGCTTCCACTTATACAATTAGCCGGCCTGAAACATCAGAGTCCATTAATGAATCCGTCAAAATGGGAAGGGGTGTTCACAGATCGTGGGATATTCAGAAATGGGGATAAATTGCACGATAGACCAATTATTATAGCTTCTGGAATCAAGTATCAGCCACTGTCTGAATTCTAGGAGACTTCCAATGCCTATTTAGGAACATAACAATCCGACTTGTCAGACTCGAAGTCAATTTTCAGCCCTCCTGGGCAACGCTGACAACAAGTAGCAAACCTAAGACAAACCCATTTTCATGGGCTTCGATTTCATGAATCTTCATGCACTGGCTAAATCCTGTCGCTTCACCCTCCACCCTGAAGTAGCCGTTTTCTCAGGGACAGTTTTGCAGCCAGTTAGAGTCGCACTGTCTGTGCACCGAATCTCTCTTTTAAATTTTTCTTTCCTTTTACGGTAAAATAATAGTAATTTGCCCTCTCAACTGCTGATATGGCTTTGGCTACCAAACAATGACATGGCGCATCTTGAAAGCCCCTATCTTATTCCAGTTTTTCTCATCGAACATCTCATTTTCAACTAATTCTTTGACTTGCAGGGGCCATCGACATCATTTTGGGTGGCCCGATGCTTTGTTGGACACTCTCCGTTGACACGAGCCATGGGTCCCGACACATTCTCATGGGTACGTCATTTTTACGATCCCCTCATTTAGTGACTTTTCTGGGATCTGCACGTTCTTGTTCCAGGTTTTCGACTGTTTTCGAATAGGACTTATCGTGGTGCCACCGATTTTGCTGTTCGTCATTACCATACTACTTATACGAACGATTAAAACGTCGGATGCACCCAAATTGAAGTTCGTTATCAATCTTCGTAGAATTTGATGAGTAACGATATTTTCACAAATCCAGTTATTAAGTAAAATTGATTGATAGTAAACCAAACGGCATAAAAATTCGATAGCATGGCTGTGAGGAGTCAATAAAACCTCAAAAAATTCCACTCCACAAAGTTTGTAAGCTTTTTTTATTAACAAAATACTAAATTTTCCATTTCAGTGTAAATCGTCATAAGCGGGTCAATTCGGCATTCAGAAATACCACTGTGATGCTCACCGTAATTATCGTACTCTTTCTCTTAGCCAGGTACGGTATACTTCAACTTTCTCAACAATCCTACCGTATTCCAAAATTCATGGTTGTGTATAGGGCGAGCCCTTCTTAGAAAGGCCATAATCTTCAATTTCATGAAAGAGATAAATGAAATTACTGTAACAACGGCTTTAGTCATGAATTGTTAGAAAAAACTCTGGATTGTGAAAGGATAATTCCATGTTAATTGATAATTCCGTGATAATTGATAGTTCCGATGATTTCTCTTGATTTTACCCTGCAGAAGAACCATGTGCAAATGTACTGGGTAATCCGCGGGTAGAATCCCGGTAATTTTCTATCAGTTTGTTGTTGACTTACAAGGATACTGCGTACATAACCATATACGGGAACAATTTGGGAAAGCACTTTACTAGTCATTTATTTGAAATCTGGTTCAATTTTACTAGTTGAAGCAAATGTTTTAAGGGAAAATGTCTTGAGTTGTGAACAAAAAATTGTGTACAAGAGTAATGTATGTAGTAGAGACGCATCTCGACGACCTCAAGGCTTCATACAAATATAGAATGCATGGCGCATTCCGAAAATGTACAAGCAACTTGGGTATACTTTCTGATCACCTTCCCTCAAGAAATTTATGGGGAGAATTGTTCTGAGTGTTGATGAAAAGTGGGATTCTGAAGTAGCTGCGTGATTTTCTCCCAAGTGAGCCATGCATACGCTTATCGCTGAAATTCAAAAAGTCATATTCATATACAAATTGAATTTAATGGTGATAAAAGTAGGTTGAACGATTTTAAGTTGATTTCATTGAAAGGCACAGTTCACGATAATCTTGAGGTACCCGTTCTTATTCGAAAAGCGGACGTATAGATTGGAAATACAAGTTCGTCGGCGATGAAGAAAGCGAGAGAAATCACCGATTTCGAGGAAAATATAGCTCCTATAAAGTAGGGAAAATAAAGGTTGGACGAGATCGCCATGACAGAAATAACGAGGAAGGGGTATTCGGACGAGATTTCACTTATTGCAATTGTACA